ATTGTAAAGGAATATGTCTAAGTAGGACATGTATTAACTGCGTAGCCGAACCACGAGAGTGAAATAACTAGAAGAATAAGGATGGGGTGGACCACATTCGGCAAGCATTCTCAAATCATAAATGGTAATCTGCCACTAACCTGCAAGAGGAAGGTATATAACAGCTATATCTTGCCGGTACCTACCTACGAAGCAGAAACCCCGAGGGCTTATAGAGAGGGTTCAGCTTAAATTGAAAACGACGCAGTGAGCAATGAGAAGGAAACTGATAGGTGTAACCTTACGAGAAGAGAGCGTATTGAGTCAGGGAACAAACTGGGGTTGAGGATATCGTAGTTGTAATCCAGAAGAAGATATAGACATGGGCCAGGCACGTAGTGTTATGCCTTCGAGTCCACAGCGAACGTCCATGCCGCTGAAAAAAAGTCAATCTGTGTCAAGGCCAGCACGCGAGCCCGCCTGACGCGAACAACTCAACGGCGTCATCACGCGGTGGTGCCTTTCTGCCGCGCACTTTCAGTGAGTCACGTCAGCCAGCGAGCGGGCGCCTTCCTGTCTGGCGAATCTGACGCAATGCGTGGCGACGTCACTCGTCCTTGGGTGCATCCACGTGCAGCGCAGCGGCTCCAGATTCGATGAGAAGACGCGGCCCAGCGGCGACCCTATTGGAGGAGTCTGACCTCAGGACAAGCGGCGCTTCTGGTTGGACATTTGGTTACTCAAAGAATCCACCCGGTGCATATAAAAGAAGCCCTGCGGCGCGTCGCGAGTAGTAGACATGTGTGTCAGGGCAGGCCTATGTGTTAGAGAGGAGAGCTCGGCTCTTCGGGTCTCTAAGCTGTCGGCCCCAGTGCCGAATTTGTAACGCCTCTGTATATATGCTGTACATAAACCTTGTTTAACTCACCGTCGTCTCGTCCGCTCGTCTATCAGCTCTGCGCAGAAGCAGTCGCGAGCTGAGAAACCTACGCTACCAAACGGCTGGTGACCTTCTCGGCGGAGTTCGAAGCAGTGGCGCCTTCGGGACCGTGTTGGCGTCGCCGTCTTTCGTAAACAGAGGTTGCAGTGGTGAGATTCGTGGCGCCCTTCGTAACGTCGTCGGAGGCGCGCTTCGCAACAGCAGGCAGGATAACTGCTGGTCATTAGGGGAACTGAATGGATTCCTAGAGAAGGCAAACGCACAACAGGGAGAGAGAAAATTAAGTAGCCGATGAGATTAAAAAGTTCGCAGGTATAACGTGGCAGCAGAAATTACAAGATTGGACAGATTTGCAGTTTATGGCCTTCGCCCTGCAGTGGGCGTAGTCAGGCTGGTGGCGATAATAATTATGACCTGCAAGTCACGGGATCGACTTCCGGCTGCGGCAGCTGCATTTCCGATGGAGGTGGAAATGTTGTAGGCTTGTGTGCTCAGATTTGGGTGCATGTTAAAGAACCCCAGGTGGTCGAAATTCCCGAAGCCCTTCACTACGGCGTCTCTAATAATCATATGGTGGTTTTGAGACGTTAAACCCCACATATCAATCAATCAATGATGATAATTATTATTTGGATAACACCAGTATTTCTAGGCCTTGTGATGTTAGTGGTAATACTGTTCACTGCTAGTAGTACTACCATATTTTTTTCCCTCTTTTTCGTTTCTTAGGTCCATCTCGCAAATATCGGACTGTGAAGTGACTGTTCGATGCAGTTATATTCTGAATTCTTGCCATCCACCCTTTGTTGAAGATGTGATGTTACTTCTCATGCATGGCTTGTGTTTTAATTATCTTGCATATATGCAATGATGCATTAAAGGGCCAGTAGATGGGCTCCGGTTCATTTTTGGACCTCCCAAATAAGCTCACTAATTCATACAGCAGACCACTGTGATAAATTTTTTTTAATATTACAGGATATTACAGACTGCGGAGACCCTACATTTCAAAAAAGAATTCCTGTGCCTCTTTTCATCTGACCTATCCCCCTTGTATGAGCAGTGGTGTGAATTCTCTCATGGGCAACCCTAGACACCACTGAGCTCATCGATTGGTTCTTTGCTCTACAAAGTGGCGCCTTGGTCCCGAGTAAATGCAGTTTTGACCAGAGTATTTTGCGTTTTCATTCTCCTGTGCTGCCCTCTGCTATTCTATAGAGCCTGACACTACTGGGAGAAGCGGTATTCCCAGAACAAAATCCTCCGAGATAGAGAGGTGTCTTACTACTTTGACTAGAGGAAGAATTTTCCTCGCATCGAGCCTCCTCCCCGCATTGCTATGTCACGTGATCAAGTGGAAGATGTTCTGCTCCATTGTTCACTGTACGCCAATGAGGTAGCGCTCACGTCGTGTCACTTTTTTGAAGTGGGTGGAGTCGCGATGGTGGATTAAGTCTTCCACCTCCCTGCAGTGAAGAAGGGTGGTGATACTGCGCAAAAATTTGAAACCAGCCGAAACAGATGCTCTAGCCCCTGTAACTTCCTTGTTGTAGCACGTATTCGCAAAATTCTTTCAGCAGCATGTTCACACAGCGAAAATGCACATTTTTGCATTCATTACAACTTTTGGACCTCGGGGGTTGTTTACTGATCCTTTTTATCAACTCTTTCCCTCGAAAAAAAAAAAAAAGGAGGTGGGGGGTGGGGTGGGGTGGAATTATCTCGGGTTTTTATGGTACATCAAGAGCAGTAAACTTAAAACTAAAAGTAGCATCTGTTTATAAGGTCACCTCTTCAGTGGAGCAATATTGAATATTGTATTTATTTTGTACGAAGTAGCAGTGTTCTGTCAATAGTGCTGCAAGTGGTGGAAGGAAAACATATCCTTTCGGAAGCAAAAATGGGGCTGTTGATTGTACAGCTGCAAGTCGTCTCTTTTGTTAATTTTTAATATGCACCAAAGCATTTATGAAGGCTTCTGGCAAATAACTTGTGCATAAAAAAAGCAGGATTTGTTGCTACGAGGTGAGCTAGAGTGTATAAATTTATGTCAGCAGTACTACAGAAGCATTGAACTATTGAGCCTTGCTAAGTACATTTTCACTTTTAAGTGTTGTGATTTCAGAAACAAGTTTGTGTATGATATGCATAGAATCCACCCGGTGCATATAAAAGAAGCCCTGCGGCGCGTCGCGAGTAGTAGACATGTGTGTCAGGGCAGGCCTATGTGTTAGAGAGGAGAGCTCGGCTCTTCGGGTCTCTAAGCTGTCGGCCCCAGTGCCGAATTTGTAACGCCTCTGTATATATGCTGTACATAAACCTTGTTTAACTCACCGTCGTCTCGTCCGCTCGTCTATCAGCTCTGCGCAGAAGCAGTCGCGAGCTGAGAAACCTACGCTACCAAACGGCTGGCGACCTTCTCGGCGGAGTTCGAAGCAGTGGCGCCTTCGGGACCGTGTTGGCGTCGCCGTCTTTCGTAAACAGAGGTTGCAGTGGTGAGATTCGTGGCGCCCTTCGTAACGTCGTCGGAGGCGCGCTTCGCAACAGCAGGCAGGATAACTGCTGGTCATTAGGGGAACTGAATGGATTCCTAGAGAAGGCAAACGCACAACAGGGAGAGAGAAAATTAAGTAGCCGATGAGATTAAAAAGTTCGCAAGTATAACGTGGCAGCAGAAATTACAAGATTGGACAGATTTGCAGACATGGCCTTCGCCCTGCAGTGGGCGTAGTCAGGCTGGTGGCGATAATAATTTATGACCTGCAAGTCACGGGATCGACTTCCGGCTGCGGCAGCTGCATTTCCGATAGAGGCGGAAATGTTGTAGGCTTGTGTGCTCAGATTTGGGTGCATGTTAAAGAACCCCAGGTGGTCGAAATTCCCGAAGCCCTTCACTACGGCGTCTCTAATAATCATATGGTGGTTTTGAGACGTTAAACCCCACATATCAATCAATCAATGATGATAATTATTATTTGGATAACACCAGTATTTCTAGGCCTTGTGATGTTAGTGGTAATACTGTTCACTGCTAGTAGTACTACCATATTTTTTTCCCTCTTTTTCGTTTCTTAGGTCCATCTCGCAAATATCGGACTGTGAAGTGACTGTTCGATGCAGTTATATTCTGAATTCTTGCCATCCACCCTTTGTTGAAGATGTGATGTTACTTCTCATGCATGGCTTTGTGTTTTAATTATCTTGCATATATGCAATGATGCATTAAAGGGCCAGTAGATGGGCTCCGGTTCATTTTTGGACCTCCCAAATAAGCTCACTAATTCATACAGCAGACCACTGTGATAAATTTTTTTTAATATTACAGGATATTACAGACTGCGGAGACCCTACATTTCAAAAAAGAATTCCTGTGCCTCTTTTCATCTGACCTATCCCCCTTGTATGAGCAGTGGTGTGAATTCTCTCATGGGCAACCCTAGACACCACTGAGCTCATTGATTGGTTCTTTGCTCTACAAAGTGGCGCCTTGGTCCCGAGTAAATGCAGTTTTGACCAGTTGACCAGAGTATTTTGCGTTTTCATTCTCCTGTGCTGCCCTCTGCTATTCTATAGAGCCTGACACTACTGGGAGAAGCGGTATTCCCAGAACAAAATCCTCCGAGATAGAGAGGTGTCTTACTACTTTGACTAGAGGAGGAATTTTCCTCGCATCGAGCCTCCTCCCCGCATTGCTATGTCACGTGATCAAGTGGAAGATGTTCTGCTCCATTGTTCACTGTACGCCAATGAGGTAGCGCTCACGTCGTGTCACTTTTTTGAAGTGGGTGGAGTCGCGATGGTGGATTAAATCTTCCACCTCCCTGCAGTGAAGAAGGGTGGTGATACTGCGCAAAAATTTGAAACCAGCCGAAACAGATGCTCTAGCCCCTGTAACTTCCTTGTTGTAGCACGTATTCGCAAAATTCTTTCAGCAGCATGTTCACACAGCGAAAATGCACATTTTTGCATTCATTACAACTTTTGGACCTCGGGGGTTGTTTACTGATCCTTTTTATCAACTCTTTCCCCCGAAAAAAAAAAAAAAAGGAGGTGGGGGGTGGGGTGGGGTGGAATTATCTCGGGTTTTTATGGTACATCAAGAGCAGTAAACTTAAAACTAAAAGTAGCATCTGTTTATAAGGTCACCTCTTCAGTGGAGCATTATTGAATATTGTATTTATTTTGTACGAAGTAGCAGTGTTCTGTCAATAGTGCTGCAAGTGGTGGAAGGAAAACATATCCTTTCGGAAGCAAAAATGGGGCTGTTGATTGTACAGCTGCAAGTCGTCTCTTTTGTTAATTTTTAATATGCACCAAAGCATTTATGAAGGCTTCTGGCAAATAACTTGTGCATATAAAAAGCAGGATTTGTTGCTACGAGGTGAGCTAGAGTATGTAAATTTATGTCAGCAGTACTACAGAAGCATTGAACTATTGAGCCTTGCTAAGTACGTTTTCACTTTTAAGTGTTGTGATTTCAGAAAGAAGTTTGTGTATGATATGCATAGAAGCTTCAGTTTAGCGATATTAATGCAGTAGATGCTTCTAGTACTATAACCAACCTTGAAAGCAGAAACATCGCAAATCTCATAACATACCTAGCTCAATTCAAATTTAATTCAATAGTAAAATCATTTTTGTGTCAATATCTGCTGGCATGATGACGTTGCTTGTGATTTTTTACACTGTATGTAGTATTTTTTCCATCTTTTCTTTACTAGGTGCATGATGGGAAATATCGATAGACTCTGCCACTGCTCTTGGGTGGAGAATGTTTTTCTGAACACCTGCTCTCTACTGTTCTTTCTTGAATTTGTTGTGTTCTGGTACTTTGTGGTTATCTTGCATACTTTCAATCGATTCTCTCAGTGATGTGCTTGGCACACCGTACGATCTCCTTCAATGATGCTCACATATTGGTTTTTTGTAGGTCTTTGCATATTCATTTCTTAGAGCCTCTATCGATGCTAATTTGGCTTGGCATTCCAAGATTGTGTGATCTCTTGTACTTACAAAGTTGAATATTGCAAGCATTACTGTTAGTATAACTTCTTGAAAGGTAAGTAATTGTCAAAAAGTACTATTTGATTCTTCTTAGCATGTCTTAAATTGTCGTCTTATTCTGTTTTTCACTTTGTCATACTTGGTGTTACTTAATTTATGCATCCTCTTAGCCTGTTAATGTCAGTGCTGAACTAATAACTGGCTTTCTTTATTGCTTATGGTGAGAGCATACCAAGCACATGTCTCTATATGTCTCTATAGAGCTAATATAGAAGGCTGACTAGATGTACTTCGTTGCTGGTTGCCATCAAGTCTTCTTGATTGAAGTAGTGTGCATCAACATTATTCTAATTTGTTCTACGTTTCATAAATACAGTTACAGTGGCTTCAATGTCATACGTGTGAGTCGCAAAAACACTTGTGTGCTTCAACATGCTAAGATATTTCAGGCTCTTCGAAATTAACTTAGATTTTCTTGCTACGGAATCACTCATTATAGTCAAATGCTTTGCCCTTTTAAACTCCCAAGCTTGTGTTGGTTTTGAGTAACCTGCCATCTTTTCTTTACGCAGCTATGGGAGCGTCTCATCCATCCAGCAACTACAGATTCTGAGAAGTCGCATAGGGGACTTGTCCACCAGTGTAACTTCAGTGACAATGAGACTGATCAGTCATGACACCTCTCATCAGGGTTCACATAGTGAGCAGCATGCGCACCGCGCTGTATGCCAGCTGCCCGGAAAAAATTGCTCGGGCGGTCCCGGGCCGCCCGCAGGCTGCCAGGCACGCAAAAAACGAACATGCGTCCGAGCGATCCCGGACCAGTAGGCGGAACTTCCAGTTGGTGCCCGAGAAAAACAAATGCGGCGCCGGCGTCCGGGGCCATCCAGAGCCGTCCGTGACGTGTAAATCGATGAAGCTCATTGCACCTCAGCGGCGGGTTTACCAAGGGAACTGAAGGGCGTCGCTGTACGGACACTGTGTGGGCAGCTAGCGTTGCGATACATTGCACTTGTCTCTGAAGTGTGGAATACATCCACACGCCACAGCGACGCGTTGTGCCCACATCACAGGGTCGCCAGTAAGTAACCTACGGGCCGCTTCGCGGTTCTCGGTATTGTGCCTGCAGCGTCGATTATGTGCATGCCCGAGTCACAGAAGCCAGATCGAGGGCGTGTTGTTGTGACACCGACACACCATGGACGCTGGCAAAATACTGAAAACCTCGAAACGGCACGAAGGTTGCTGGCGCCCCAGTGACATGGGCACACCACAGACACTAGCACAACAGTGCAGTGAAAGCTGGTGCGAAAACCATAGTGTTTCTGTATATAAACTCCATGGCAAAAACATTACGGGAAAATATTGCTGCCAGATTCGGTGGCACTCTGGCAACACTGACCCCTAATCTGGCAACAGATTTCTGCGCCACTAGCGACATCATTGAGTTTCCCATAGAGTTTCCCAAAATTAACTGGAAGGCACTCTGGCGCTGCGATCGTTCAGCGACCATGGGAATGATGGGTAGTACACACATTTGCCTAGTCTTCGTACTTGCGGGCGGCGAATCGTACTTGCGACTTCCTTTAGTGCTCGTTACGGTTTTGTTTTGAAAGAAAGAACGAACCCTTTTGAACTAGGCAAGTCTGTGTGCTACCCATCATTACCATAGTGGCTGAATGATTGCAGCTCCCAGAGTTTGCGCTAGTTAACTTTAGGAAACTCTGTGACCAGTGCAAGCAGTTTTTTGGCTAATAAAATGCATTGACAGCAGCCTACTCGTAATTTATGTATGTTGTCCATCGCTGAATGGATGCACGGAGTTGGCTTAACATTGCTTGTGTAACACTATCTGCCAATGAAATAGACATTTGTGCTTGGCGACTGTCCGTGCTTTTGCACTATGTCAGGTTTCTGGTATTTTCTTTTAATTTGTGGACATTGACGTTGTGTACCGCCTACTACACGCTGCTGTAATGTGGCTTAATTCATTATTTGCGTCATATATACTGGTCTTGGATACTGAAAAAGAAATAAATATCCTATTCTTGGGCAATGAGCTAAAATAATTGTGAACACACATTGACATTGTTTTCTTATTCAGTTCTTCAAGAAATGAACATGAAGGACAGTTGATGAGCTTATTCAGGAAAGCTGTGTGGTTGTGAGCACTTTAGTGTGCCCGTTTTTACTCCAATAGTGGTATAAAAAGGTAACAGTTTAGCGCACAGCTTTCTTTGATTGATTATCTGCATGACAGTGGTGCAACAAAGGTTCAATTATTTGATGGGACAGAAGTTTTTTTTTTTTTTTTCAGGGCAAATAATGTCCACTTCTTCGATCAGTCTATAGCAATGCCACAAAAGCGCACAAGATATTATGAAAAAAAAATATAGCGTTTTGCATGCACGTCGCACTTTTTTTTTCACTTAATTTTTTCTCTCTCTTCCCCTGATGGCTCTCCATGGTTTCGCATTCGCCAAATGCACTTTTCATTTAATCGTGGTGGTGTGTGATGGCTGGCCTAGTTGATTTCAGTGCTGCCAATGGTTGCTTTCCAGAGGGTGGTTGAGCTAGAGAACTAGGTTAAATCTCATAAAGTTTTGAAGAGTTAGTGGTGCCAGGTAATGTGGATAGACTCGAAAAGGAGCTTTAAATGTGTTCAGGCATTTATTATAAGTGCTTATCAGTATTTGGGCACAAGTGCTAGGAGTGGTAAGGAAACTCTATGAAAGCACTCTTTAACCTTTAATTCAGGCTCAAAGAAGGGTGATAAGAATGCAAAGAACAATATAGGATTTCTCCCAAAATCTGCTGTTTGATCATCACTGATCACGATGTCAGCACTGCCATTATGCAAAAAGTAAATTGATCTCTCAGGCTGAGACAGCAATTAACTAATTTATAATACGGTATTAAAATAATTGCTGTTTTTACTTACACATTTATTTATCTATGATCGCAGTATGCTCCTCCTAAAAGAACATGTGCGACATTCATTCCACACATTTTATGTCACTGTCATAATTTTATCATTTATAACTATTTTATGCACATTTAGCGTGCGGGAGTTTAGGCCTTCTTACAACCACTCTTTGCTTAACAATGGTCAATTATTGATCACATGAATGCATATTTGTGTCACTTTGCCTTGACCCTGTGTAATTAGCCTTTTCACCACAAACTTTATTAATAATTCCGTTTGTCAATTTCCTGTTTTCATTTTTTAATTTTGTTTAAATCTGTTTATGCCTCACCTTATTTAATGCCTTCATGCCCTAATAAGGTGTAATAAATGCAATTAATTAAACCTGTTCTCTTTGTGCAGCTTCGGAGTATGTCATCAATCCAGGAACGGTGGATGCTGAAAAGTCGCATCGGCAACACCATCATCGCTGCAACATTTGTGGCTACACGACCGATAAATCGTTTTGCGTTAAACATCATGCAAGGGTTCATACAGGCGAGCGGCCTCATCAGTGCCACTTGTGCTCGAACAGCTTCAATCGGAAGTCCACATTGAATAAACATCTTCGCACCCACACCGGCGAGCGGCCGTATAAATGCCACTTGTGCCCTCAAAGCTTCTCTCAAAAACCCAACTTGGATGTTCACCTGAGAGTCCACACGGGTGTGCGGCCACATAAATGCCCTGCATGCACGCAAGAATTCTCGCAAAAGCACAAACTGAAGCAGCATATGCGCATCCACACAGGCGAGAAGCCGTACAAATGCCATGTGTGCTGCCAATGCTTCGCTCGACGATACAGCTTGAATGTTCACCTGCGTGTCCACACGGGCGAGCGGCCGCATAAGTGCCCGTCATGCCCCCGGACATACAAGCAGAGTGCCCACCTCAGACAGCACCTACGTCGGCATGAATGCCAGTAGTCATTTTAATAAAAGCTCTGCCGCTTGCTGCTTTGTTTTAGTTTTTGTAAAGGTACTTATGACTGTTAATCCTTAAGTACTGTGGCGGTGTGTTGCTACATAGTGTAACGTTAAAGCTGTGGTTTTAGTCGTCATATCATGGATTAATTATTTGCCCTCGAACATCATCATGCATGCAATGTATGCATTTAATGTAATCAAAACATTTTTTCTCTTTTTGTTATGCTTCTTTGCAGTATATGCGAGCTGAACGAAAACTCGTGTAATTGTGCATATGAACAACTACACTTGCTCATTGTAAGCTCAATATCCTCTCCAAGCTAATCACTATAGCGCACTTGAAACCATTGCATCATTATACTACTGCCAAGTAGGCCATTTACCAAATACATAGGTGCATTCTGCGTAATTGCTGATGAGAATTGCAAATTGAAACGTGTGTGCGCTATGTTACTTGGAACTGTAAATAGTTTGTGGCATGAATTCTGTGCATTGTAAGGCATTGTATATAGGCTGTTGAAATGTCGAAGTACTATATCCTGTTGCAAGAAAGTTGTGTCTGCTCAATTAGAACCAAAGCAAGTGCCTTGTTGCTGTGGGATCTAGATAACATTTCCGAGTTAATGAGCATTGAACAGTGTAAGCTTGAATAGAAGTATGCCTGTTTCATCATCATCTTGGAATCCCTTTCTATCAATTTTGTAATTAGACAAGATGCCTGTAATTCTGTTTTTTTTAATTGGTAACAAACTATGTTCTATAAAACAACACATTGAAGCCACTTCACTACAACTTCACATTCATGTAATATCACTCAGATTTTGACCTTTCAAATGCGAAGTGTTAAAAGTTTACTTGTTTAGTTATGAAATGTTGTCTTTCATGAGGAACTGTTCCTTACTTATCCAACTTGTGCATTACTGGTGGCTTCTGTATAGTTGATTTGTACAGTATTATATTTATTGTATGCTAAGAGTGCTGTTGCCTCTGTTTTGTACTGTCGGATTCTTTGCAGCTGTTCTCTTATTGCCTGTGGTTATTATGCTTTAGACCTTTCATTGCTGTTTTGTGCTCAAACACTTTGTTGCACTTATAAAGAATTTGTCACTGGATCATTGCTGTGTTGGCCATCACAGTGTTTTGGCTTTGTGTTGTCAGTAATCTGTATTCTTGGCACTTCAATGCTTGTGCTAAACCTATATATGGCATGCTTGATTAACGCTGCAATACAAGTTGAGTGATACGCGCATTTGTCGTTTCAACTAAATGAATCCGCACTTACAAAATTTCATGATTTCATCAGTGGCAAAGATTGTTTTGGAATTGCTGTGATCCTTCCAGTTTTTTTATACACCACCTGTACTCTTGTCAAATACCTCGTACCAAAACGTAAGCCCCTCTATTTCAAAGCAATAAAACATGTGAAGAATTTAGAATTTAGGCTAAATTTATGTTTTAATCTGTGCAGCATCATTTGTAGTTAGTACTTCGGGTTATACCCTAATACATTGTACACAGTAACTTATTGTCTATGAAATATGGAAGAGACTATTTCTGTCAAGCTAATGTTTTAAAATCTACCCTCCTTGAAAGGTGCTTTTTTTTAATAGCAGAGCTGCTGCAGTCGAGACTTGCCATGGCTCGATTTGCCAAAGATGTGAAACGGCACTTTTTCTGGCTGTAAGTGAAGCTGTAAACGTTTTCGCGCTTGTGTAATGAAAGTAGGCATCAATCAATGTCTATCTTTTGTGGAAAACTAAACTTAAATAAATCAGTCTTCAGAATTCGGCATACACAGTTGTGTAAAAAAGCGAAATAAGTATTGTTCGTTGTCGGTTTTCCAGCTTCTGTCTGGCCACCTAGTAGCCATTGCTATAAAGTTGCCGTCAAAACTCGCGGTAATTTTGTCGTCAACAAAAGCGTGTGTATGTTGCCTTATTCTGTGCGGGCGCTCTATTTTAGCGATTTACAATGTTTTGTGTGCTTCGCTAACTTGTTTTGATGTTCATTGTGCCTGTGTGCATTTTCCACTTGTCTTAATAAGAAGAGTGCTACCATATGGATGAAACCAACAATAATAAAAGACTTCTGACAGGTGTGCGCCTCTCGCTTCGTTTGTTAGTTGGGCGTCTGCAACAGCTGTGCGGACACGCGCTGTCAGGCATTCCTAATGGAACCTACGTCAGCAGAGCTGCTGTGGACGTTCAAATGAACCTGTTCAACAACGAAAAGAACAAGTTTGACTAATCGGTCCAACACAGAAGTGAAACGTGTCTTGTGGAAGGTAGTCGAGCGTTTAGTGCAGTTTCGCCACAAGATCTAAAGATCTAATTGTAACTAATTGTAATGTCGTGCAAAGAATGGCAAGCTGCTGGAAACTTGTAGCACGTTCCTCAAGCAGAAAGGACGCACGAAAAGAACGTACACAGGATGAGCGTGAACTGACAACTGTCACAGCCCAACTAAAGCACTCTGCTCAAACCCTAAGAAGGACGCACAAAACGATTGCACAATTACATACCAGACAAGCGCTAACAAATTTCACAATTGTTACTTGAAGTGAGCTGCGTGCTCCTTTGGCAAGCGCGGCCGCTGCAGCGAGCGTTTAAACTCCCCGTCGTGCTCTAACTTCAACGCACACTTGCGGTGAAAGCCCAAAATGTAATCCAAACTGCCACGATCATGAGATAAGTGTGGGCGCTGTGTGGGCGTTCTCTGGTGTGGACACCCACGCCCCAGCTGTTGAGCTGCCGTTCACTGCCGTGGCCGTACGGCCACGGCAGTGAACTTGGGACGGGGCAGGGTGTACAATTACTGTATATGCTATGCTACCTAAAGGTATGGTCCCTAGCATTGAGTTAATAGAATAACTAGGGAAACTCTATGATTCTAGGGACCCTACTAAACGCTAGCAGGGTGAGGAATGCAGCTCTCTCTGGTCGGTGTGCGGTTCTTGAGCAAATTGTAAGAATCATTTTCATTCGTGTGTGCAAACCTAGTAATTGTCGATATATATATATTTATAAGGGAAAGAAGTGTATACCTAAGGGCTCGTTTTTACATGTTTTAACACAATATTAATGAGATCTAACAGACAGTAATGGAATGTACAGGGAAAGTTATTAGAACCAATGGAATGTATATAAGAAAGAAAAGTGGATGAAAAAATAACCAGCCGTAAGCAGGCATCGAACCTATGACCTTCGAATAACGCGTTCGATGAATGTAAATAAGAAGAAAGAAACGTGGATTAAAATATAACCAGCCGTGAGCAGGAATCGAACCTACGACTTTCGAATAACGCGTTCGATGCTTCAGCATCGAACGCGTTACACTTCTTTCCCTTATTATATATATATATATATATATATATATATATATATATATATATATATATATATATATATATATATATATATATATATATATATATATATATATATGCCCCGCCGTGGTGGTCTAGTGGCTAGGGTACTCGGCTGCTGACCCGCAGGTTGCGGGTTCAAATCCCGGCTGCGGCGGCTGCATTTCCGATGGAGGCGGAAATGTTGTAGGCCCCTGTGCTCAGATTTGGGCGCACGTTAAAGAACCCCAGGTGGTCGAAATTTCCGGAGCCCTCCACTAAGGCGTCTCTTATAATCATATGGTGGTTTTGGGACGTTAAACCTCACAAAATCAATCAAGTGAATATATATATATATATATATATATATATATATATATATATATATATATATATATATATATATATATATATATATATATATATATATATATATATTAACCCTGGCACACACGTTCTGTTGGTGAAGTTAGCAAAACTGATGGCAGTCGGCCACTAGAAGCGAGACGAAGCGAATAAGGACAGAAACAATGTTTCAAAGCATTCCTTCCTCCGTGTTTTATAGCCAGGAAGATTCCTATCTTTTCGCAACGCAGCGGAAGCTTGCGATGCGCTTCTTTGAGCACATTAACTTCCATGGTACTTTTTGAAAAACTTGTCCCATCGCCTAGCTACGCAAACTTGCAACTCGATAGGTTCGACACACGGAGGAAGGAAAGGTTCACCTTTTCCTTCCTCCGTGGTTCGACATGACCTCCAGGATTGTGTCTTAGCAACTAATCTCAAAGCTTGTGAAACGCTACCAGGTAGGATTAAAGGCGAGAACCTTTTAGGAACCATTGCCAATTTAAACCACCGCAAAGTTCTTTATAACACGTGTTTCAATCACACATGGCTTATCCCGCGCACGCGCACTAACTACGGCAAAGAAATGCTGCGCTTCCTCCTGCCGTTTCCTTGAATGCCATATTGTCTTCCATTTGAGTGACTGTTCTGATTGTAAGTGTAGTAAGCGTATGGGCACATGCCCCATATTTTCTTTACCTTGGTGCTAATCTTGCGATCTTGTTTTCTGGCATCGTTACATTCTGTTATTGATATCGTATGTGTAAGGAAATAATTACGGTCATTTCTTTGAGTTTATTACTTTTCAATCTTCATGCTTTATTATGCTTATGCTTTATTATGCTTATGCTTGCTCAAATTTTTGTACATTGTCACTGCAATAAAAGTGTTGCCTATGCTGCCCATTTGTAGGGGGTCGTGGTCCCAGTCAAGCCCATTAGAGGCTTTTTGACCACGGCCCTCAGCATCCCGAATGTTGAAATAAATAATAAATAAATAAATAAATAAATAAATAAATAAATAAAAAGGCCATAAATTCGATAACGCGCTTGCGGCGCTGTTTGACCACCGCACGCGAAATAGCTAGAACGCAAATAATAAAAAATAATTTTAAGTTAACTTTGCGCAAAAAGTATAGTGTTGTGTATTAATAGCACAGCATTTTTTAGTGCTGAATTTGTCTTGTAGCGCCATCAACGTTTAATTGGTGTTATTACTACGACAGTGAGCGCGGCTACACTTGTGGCTACACTCTAGCAAATTTTATGTATCCTCCTTGACTCTAGCGCGGCAAGAAGCGCACAATTTCAA